TCTGGGGCTCATGTTTATGTATTGAATCAGCTGCGTCGTTCAGAATTTGTGGTACATCAAGTGGTATTAAGCTTAATAATATTTGTTTCCTGTATTGCCTGAAGGCATCTTCCGATATATATTTCAAAACATGATTGACAAACTCTGGTTGAAAATTTTGATTCCACTTTATTAATGACATTAATGTTATCAATCTTTCTATGGATTGGGCTTCTGTCACTTCATTTCTACATACTTGAAGGCAGAGAGCCTGAATTCTTTTGGCATTATTTTCAGAACAATACTGTTGTATAAAACTAAGGACAGTATTTGTTGTCACTGGATTATTCTTAAGATTTTTTGTGAAAAAATCAAATGCTTCTTCACTTAACTCTTTCGGTGATTTTGATTCATCGACATCTTCATAGAACTGAAGAATTTCCTGTCAATTTAAAGCACACCTTATTTAGTCAGCTCCAAAATATGTTGCTTTATATGAATCAACTTGAATAATTGAAGTTGAACATTATTCTATTAAAAACCCTTACCTCAAATACTTTTTCACTTCCATTATCCAATAGTTGTAGTACATATTTAAGTTCCTCTTCATTCATGGCTCCAGATTATTGATACCTTAATTTATTTTTTTAAATTAATTTAATGTACATACATAATGCAGACTTTTAATAGTTGACTATATTAAGATATTTATATTAAGATATTTTTTAAATCAACTTTTTTTCTAAAGCTTTCATAATAATAACACATCTATATTTTTTAGTTAAATTCACTTAAATTGATGTGTGAAACACAACCTGACATTGAAGTTTATTTGATAATTGATAAATTAATATTAATTATTTTGTCAATTATAAACAAACTAAATCCTTCATTAAATTAACAAACAAATATGTAGATGTTTGTTTACCTTTTAAATGTTACATTTAATAATGTCATGTTATCTATTGTGAACCTCCTGGGTCACAAGTCATTGACATATGTTACAATTAAATATTCCTGAGAGATAAAATTACATAATACCATGTAAAAGCATTGAGCATCAATTGCTTTGTCTAATTGAAGAAGTGTGTGATAATTTGCCTAATATATTAACTATTTGAAATAAATTTTTCATATATAACTTATCTATGTGTTAACAACAATCTACATGATTGTGTTTTAATTTCAGTACCTTAGGTTAACTGAAAGTTATTACTAATGAACATGTGGATGGACTGTCTTACATTAAACCTAATTTTATCTAGATTCATTTAATTCTAATCTTGTTATTTTTATACATAAATAAATTATTAGTACTGTTATTATTTAAAAATAGCCTTGCGCTAGCATAAGCCCTCTGCAAAAGACTATTGGACCATCAAGTCAGTTACTATGAATCTGGAACCTTCTATTCATTTTATAAAGATAAATAACCCTCGCATTACATATTGACTGACCCTGTGATTTGTCAGATTTCAGAATAATCTAATATATGCCACAAATAAGCTAGAGCTATAAAATATGAAAAAAAAAACTGTAAGTTAAAAGAAAATATATTTTTTTGTTTAATGAATATGTTTGTGTGTTTTATTTAGGATAAGACAAAACTAGATTTTTGTATATTATAATAAATAAAAAGACAACATGAATATATACATACCACATGTTTTACTTTAATAATCTTTAAGAGCTATTGATAAACTAATTAACTGTTTAGAACTTTTTATGAAGTACATTGTGTTAATCAATGATTTTGGTTGAGTGTTCAAATTATGCAATTGTCTATTGTTTATTCTATATTTTTAGTTAGTGATCAATAATAGTTAAGATGCGTAAATTTAAACTACGTCCCTATTCAGTAGGTTTGTATAAAGAAATAGCAACTGCTGACTGCTGTTTCAAAGTTGGTGTAGTAATTTATAGGAAAATAATTGAATAGTTTACGTTATTTAAGTTTCTTAGCTTATTCATACGTTACTCACGGTTTGGATTTTATATGGTGGGCAACTTAAATACACAATGACGAAAATACAACAATACCGGACTAGAGTATCCAATAGTATCATTTGTTTTTCAAGAGCTATTATTATATCTTTCCCGATTCTTACATTTTCCAACATTTCTGTATGATTTTACACTAAGGCAACCTTTCCCTTTTTTACTACATACCTGGTCAAGACCTTCATAAATTAAAAGCTTTAATGGCTTTTAAAAACATCACGATCAACACCCACAATTAACGTTCGGAACTAAGTAACAAAATCAAAATATCTTTATTTTATTTATAAAATTATAAATTCTGACACTGAAGAGCTAAATTCTTTGTTTTGTTATATTTATTGTCAATGTCATTTTCAGTAGCAGTTCTATTTTTCCAACAGGAAAGGCAAAGATATCGTACCATACGACCTAATCTTTTATATTTTTATCAAGAAAAGTGACAATATCACGTGAAATGAAATGAAGTTGATTAATTTGGAACATTAATCAATTGGCATGAAATTAAATGAAGTGAGATGAGATCTCTCAAATATATTAAGTGTATAATCTATGATGAGATCATATGGGATGAAATATAATCTCAGTAAAATGGTGGTTATTTACTGAGCTGTTTTCAGTTGACTTTTTAGAGGATGCCGAGAAGCTACGTCTAGCGGCTTTGTTTCTTTTTCCCACATTTGTCTTTTTTTTCCTTGTAGGCAGACGAGCATACGCCCCACCTGACGGTGAGTCGTTGCCATCGCCCATGGACTATAGCAATGCCATGGGCAGAGTCAAGCCGCTGCTTACCGTAAAGTACTCTCCACAAGCCTCATTTGAAGATGGAGGATATGTCATAACGCTCGGGAAACACCATGGAGGGGAGCTCATTCCAAAGTCGGATGGTACGTGGCAAAAAAGATCTCTGGAATCGCACTGTGGATGAACGCAGCGGTTCCAGATAATATGGATGAACTCTACTCTAATGGCGGGCGATGCGATGGTAAAAGGGAGGTGATGGTATAATCTCAAACAATTCCTCAGAGCACTCCCCATGGAACATACGGTACAAAATACAGAAGGAACCGAAGTCCCTTCGCAGACCCACAGGTTCCAAACGAGTCGACTATTTATTAAAGCCGGCAATGTGACTTTTGGACAATTATTGGTAAATCAGAAAAACGAATTATTGACTTTGTATTCCATTGGCAGTCACAAAACTCTTCTGAACGACATCTTTGATAAATAACAGGTTAAGTATTAACCTTTATTTAATGCAGGTTTTGAACCGTATTCTTTGAAGGAGACGATTATATTCAAACCAATCTGTATTGACATATCAATAACATTTTTTTGTTCAAATGCACAGATTGCCACCTTTGATAATAGACGACTCAAACGATCAATGAATGGGATTATCGACAATATTTATTTGTGTTTTTTATGTATCTTTAGCTTGTGATGTGTATTGTGAGCCTAATAAAATAAATAAATCCGAACGGCCCTCTTCTGTAAGGAGTCAAATGGAAGAAGCTGGTATTTGGTAGCCCCGGTCCAGAGATGGGAGTAGTACTACACGCGAGGCTGGACTTATGCTTTAAAAAGCAAAAGTATTTGTTCAGACGAGAAGTAACGCTTTGCTCCGTTCAGGACTCCCAGCATTTGGACGCCAACTTGGCTTTGCCTTCCAAATGACTCCGTAATTGGACATCGCTCGAAATGTCGACCCCAAGGATCCCCAAACTCTTTTTTGAAGTGAAAACTTCTTTAGAATCGTTGTGATTTCAAACCAGATGCAACGGAAAAAACGACAGGTAAGAGACACAAATACAAAAATGTGTAGGATGAAGCCAGCAAAGAATGAGACAGAATATACATACTATTTAATACAGCGCCATCTGTGAGATTTTTTAATACTAACGTGTGTATGAAAGCTCTTGTAGTGAATTTTAATTTAGGATTGTACGTTAAATTAAAATATCAATTCACAGAGGGCGCTACCTTACAATTTTTTACTAATGACAAAATTTTACATATACTTGAGACGTTTAGGATAATTATTGTATTTTAATTTTGGAAGGTTTCACTTCTACCACGTGTGAATTGCACACATTTTTTTTATTGCCTAGATGATTGATGAGCTCACAGTCCAACTGGTGTTAAGTGGTCATCGGAGCCCATATACATCTACAACGTAAATGCGCCACCCACCTTGAGATATAAGTTCTAAGGTCTCAAGTATAGTTACAACGGCTGCCCCACCCTTCAATCCGAAACGCATTACTGCTTCACGGCAGAAATAGGCAGGGCGGTGGTACCTACCCATGCGTACTCACAAGAGATCCCACCACCAGTAATTACGCAAATTATAATTTTGCGGGTTTGATTTTTATTACGCGATGATATTCCTTCATTGTGGAAGTCAACCAAGAACATTTGTTAAATACGTATATTATTAGAAAAATTGGTACCCGCCTGCGGGATTCGAACACCGGTGCATCGCTACACACGAATACACCGGACGTCTTATCCTTTAGGCCACGACTTCTCAGAAGGTTACAGGGATACTCCTTGGAATTGCGGCGCCATGACAAAGGGGTCCTTCTTCGCAGTGAACGTCCAATCTTGTGTCTTTAACGGGTTGAATTGAACTTGGTCCAATTTGGCACCCTATTCGGAGACTCGCCCCAGAGATTTCTCCACTTCAGACACAAGCTTTGATCGTCTCTCTTGCACCACTCTCCAAGATAAACTCTGATGGCCGATATATCATGAATCCCCCGTGCTGTCATCCGCATAGCAATGCATACCATCATTAAACAGCATATCATTGATATATAGGATGACTTTTTACAGGATGTGTTCTATCACAGATATTAAACAGTTAATAAACCACCGTTATTACACATTTAAACCTGAAGAAACAATATATAGACAAAATAAAGCAAATCACACAACTTCACTCCTCGCGCTCCCGCCAAAAAATACACAGATCAAGCTTACGCATTCAAAACTACAGATTATTATCAGGTTGCAATGCCACCCGGTCAAAAGCAAAACATCAAACTTCGAAAGTTGTGCGAAATGTTTTGGTTATTTTTATAGTTTGAAATAGTTACAAAACATAAAATTATTAATTAAATTTAAATCCAATAACCATTTCAAGATTTATTCCACAGTAAACTGTTTTTCAAAATGGAGTTAACTAGGCCATGGCACAGTATCAAACAAATTTCCAGATTAAAGTTTTGTCTCATTAGTGCTAAAATTCGTGTGCCAGTCAGGCAATATGTAGTGTTATTAACAAACAAAAGATTGCTTCAATGTAGTTGTGCTATGAAGTTTCCCTTTACCTACAATTATTCCTCCGAGAACAAGAAACATTTCATAACCCTAGAAAAAAAAGCATTGAAAAATGCCTTTGAACACAAAAAAGAGCAACTGAAACATACCGAACACAAATTAAGGCTAAAAGGGGAAGAAATTGTGAGAGACATAAGACACCAAGGCGAAGTAACAGGACAAAAGTTACGTGTTAAAAAGGAACATATCATTAAAGATATTTTAGAAACTAAAGCTAAAGTCAAGGAAAGATTTGAGGAAGTTGTAGAGGTTAGTAAATACAGTTTTGATTCTAAATACAATGATCACAAAAGTTTCTGCCTAACTCTAAACGTCCATTGGATTTAAATTGTTTTAATCTTTGGGACCATAAAAAATCAAGGTATTAAATAGTGATTTATAGAGTTATGAGAGATAAAATTTGTTAAATTGTATTTTGTAACAAGAGCTGCAAAATTCAAAGTTACCACAGAGGAAGACATACGGTCAAAAGCATCAATGTTTTATATACTTGAACTCAGGACTTGAGACATCAAGTTTGGAATCAGTATACTATTTCTATAGTAAACTGACTTCATTTGAAGACTAAAAAGGAAATTTTATGTTTTTTTTGCTATGGATTCTTTAGTAGTTAAATAAGCCTATTTACATAGACAAATTTTTAAGGAAACTAAAGAGTTAGGGTCTAGTGCTATATATTTCTGGTTATACTGTGATTTTATGCTATATACGTATTTTATAAATGTGCTAGATGATTGTAGTTTTAAATTATATTCAAGGCTTTTTTTTTTCAGAAAGAAAATGTCTTAACTATCCCAAACATCTTATGTATCACTAGAATAGCAATGTCGCCATATTTAGGTTATGTAATAATCCAGAATAATTACAACCTGGCACTGGGGCTATTAGTGTTCGCTGGAATTACAGATTTGGTAAGATAAGAAGACAAAATTAAGAAGTCATTAAATACACAGTGTAAAGGTATTCATTCCCGATGCTGAAGAGGGAATAACACATTATAATTTTAAATTTAACAGTAGATTTACATATGGCTGTCAACTTTTTTTTTATGGCATAGATCGCTGGAAGAGCTTACAGCCTACTTGGTGTGAAAAGGTTGCCGGAGCCCATAGACATCTTCAACGTAAATACCGCCACCCACCTTGAGATATGAGGTCTAAGGACTCATAAGAGGTCCTACTACCTGTAATAGAGTGAACATAAAACTTTGTATTTGGTAGTGCTTAGTGGACTAAAAAAATGGCAGCCTTGGGTGGTTTATCTCCCTAGTTCCACATATTAAAGATGCTCTTACTGAAAATTTAATCAGTTATTTGAGTCGTCTATTATCAAAGGTGGCAATTTGTGCATTTGGACAAAAAAATTTTATTGGTATGTCAATACAGATTTATTTGAATATAATCGTCTCCTTCAAAGAATATGGTTCAAAACCTGCATTAAATAAAGGTTAATAGTTAACCTGTTATTTATCTAAGATCTCGTTCCGAAGAGTTTTGTGACTGCCAATGGAATACAAAGTCAATAATTCGTTTTTCTGATTTACCAATCATTGTCCAAAAGTCAGATTGCCGGCTTTGATAATAGTCGACTCATTTGTCATATTTACCTGTGTATTTACCATTGCATTTCTTGTCAGTTTCTTGAATGAGTATGGACTGCTGGAGCCCACCTGGTATTAAGTGGTTATCGAAGCTCATAGACATCAACATTGTAACTACCGCCCCACCCACTTTGAGAGTTCTAAGTCTCTGTTTAATAATACAAGTTCTCCCCCGCCCTTCAATCTGAAATGCACTGCATCACAGCAGAAAACGGTGGCGTGATACCTATCTATGTGGGATAACAAAACACCATTACACAAGTAAAAGACACACTACTACCAGTCAACTATAATTATAACTTTTTTATTTCAGCTAGATGGCTGGATAGCTAGAAATTGGAAAGGTCAATCAACAAAGATGGGTTCTTTCTTGGATCCAATGGCAGATAAAGTTCTCGTAGCAACTCTCTTTATCTCTCTCACTTGGCAGAACCTCATACCTATTTCATTGACACTGCTAATAGTTGGGCGAGATATAGCATTGGTTGTGGCTGGATTTGTCATTCGATATATAAGCTTACCACCACCGGTACGATCATTTGATTTAAAATTTTCATAGTGTAACTGTAATAGGTTCCAATGTCATCAATATACAATCTATGTAACTATTTTTGGATTGCTTCAGAGATTAGGAACGCCAAGAAAAGTGTTCTTATTAATGTAGATTCTATCCTTTAGATTTACGAGAGCCACTTAAATAACTACAGTGAAAAAAATATTGCTTAGAATAAGCAGAAACGGTTAACGTTTCAGCTACTTAATGTTCGTGAACACATCTTGTGTTTAGTTTTTGGTTGAGTAGTTAATGACCCCACTACCTACCATGATATATGAGTTTGATTCTCAGTTACAGACACAGTGGTGAAAGATATTTGATATATGGGTTCCGAGTGCATATTTAATGTCGTTTTTTTTTCTTTTTTTTCTTACATGGGTGAACGAACTCACAGCCCACCTGGTGTTAAGTGGTTACTGGAGCCCATAGACATCTACAACGTAGACGCGCCACCCACCTTGAGATACAAGTTCTAAAGTCTCAGTATAGTTACAACGGCTGCCCCAGCCTTCAAACCGAAACGCATTACCGCTTCACGGCAGAAATAGGCAGGGCGGTTGTACCTATCTGCACGGACTCACAAGTGGTCCTACCACCAGTAAGTATGTGTGTGTGTGTATCATGTTTCGGCATAACAACGTAAAGTCCCATCTCGCACGACGAACATCCGTTGCGTTTGTGTAATCCATAACATCAACTCGCTAAGTTTGTCATGGTATGACTTCATATCTGGTCACGATCGACCTGGTCTGGTCACAGCTCACGCAGAAAACAGTCTCAGATCTAGGATCAACAAATCACAAATATATAGAACACAAACGAATTTAGCTTCGGTAATTGTTATTAATGATTAGTGATTTTTTTTACAGCGAACGTTGAGTAGGTATTTCGATGTAACACACGCAACCGCACAACTTGCACCGACTTTTATCAGTAAAGTGAACACAGCTGTTCAACTTCTATTGGTATGAATATATTTTGTTCTTTGATAATAAACAAAAATGTAAACTATTAAGGTTTTTATTGCACCAGATGAGCAGATGCCCTCCTGGGTAACAGCGCTGTGCTGATAGATGCCATATTGTAATTGTTGTCAGCTAGGTATATAGAATAATAGCTTTTCAACCTTTAAATAAGAACACATGATTGCTATAACGATTATTTGCGTCCCCTGTNTATGAATATATTTTGTTCTTTGATAATAAACAAAAATGTAAACTATTAAGGTTTTTATTGCACCAGATGAGCAGATGCCCTCCTGGGTAACAGCGCTGTGCTGATAGATGCCATATTGTAATTGTTGTCAGCTAGGTATATAGAATAATAGCTTTTCAACCTTTAAATAAGAACACATGATTGCTATAACGATTATTTGCGTCCCCTGTTTATTCTGAACTACAGGTCTGATGGTTGTGTACTTAGTTATTTTCTCTTCTCTTTGTTCTTTTACCATCAAGTGGATCGTATACTCGTCTGCCTAAAACGGCAATTAAAGAACACGTGAATACCGTCATCCAACTTTGAGACTCGAGTTTATTCTTAATTGTATTGTATAACGGCCGTCTCACCTCGTAAAACAATTCGGATGACTGTTTCGCCGTTGAAATAGGCAGGATAGTGGTACCCACTCGCACGCCTCCCAGTATGCTCTATCACCAGTTAATACTAGTGAGATAGAGAATTGACTCGAACCCGAAAGTTATAAGCCTTCGTATGACGTTTTGCGACCGTTATTTGAAATGATTTTTTTAACACATACCATAACGTTTTCTTAGGGTCGGTTGCTGAATAAAAAAATCATATTCATTAAATTTTTTAGGTAGGCACTACGCTGGCGTCCCCAGTTTTTGGTTATGTTGATCATCCAGCATTGAAAGTCTTGTGTGGAATTACTGCAGCCTCAACTATAGTGTCAGCCGTCAGTTATCTAGTTAGTAAGGACACCTACAAATTACTAAAGAAAAAAATATGAATATCGTGAAGTATTGTGAAATATCTCTATTCCCATTTCGAGATTATTTTTTATTGTTTTCAAAATTTTATTAACCATCAAAAGTACTGTTCATTTTATTAATTATACAAAATAATGTAAATAAATTATGAGACTAAAACGATATTTTAATTTTAAATATTAAGTCCTTGTTTAAGACCAAAATTTTATGTGAAATGATAAAGTTTATGTACAAATTGAAACAATTTATTGTTTTTAAATTTTATATATAAACTGCGGGTATGAATGCGAAACATTTAAATTATAAAAATATATTGTCACTAAACTATGCTTAGTAGTCTAGTCATAGTGAATGAAATGCTTACGTTTTCTATATTGAAGAACAGTAACATTTCTACCAGTTTTACATTTTAAACTAATTTTACGAAGATCATCAAAAGCGATAGTTGGAAGCTGATGCTGTAGTGGAATTTTGTGGAGGCCAATATAAAATTACAAAATAAAGATGTGGAATGTCGGTCACTTCTTGTTAGTTATTAGTCTTATTATTTCCACAATTAGTAATGTTAACTTCCTGGCAACATTATTGTAAAAGTGGTAAAGTTCTCAACTTACAGTGGACTATAACTGGATGGTGGAGATTAAATTTTGAAAGGCACTAATATAGGAGTCTTTAAACAATGTTATAACATTCAAATTAACCCAAACAATTACAAATACACTATTGATCTTCATTATATTACACAATTTTATATTCAAATTGGAGTACTCATATAGTTTGAAATACAATAATTAACTCCAATACAATGCCATACTACATCATGTTTTTAGATCATATTGATTAATGCTGTTCACATAACAATATTATTCAAAAAGAGATGAATCACCCTCACCTTTATTACACTATTTCTGATTCCCGAAAGGTTTATAATATTTTTAGTTAAACTACTTAACACAGACCTTTCATAATTGAAAAAGATGTATATTTTCTGCAATTCAAAATAATGTATACTGTGGGTGCATATTTTCAACTGAGGACTAGAAGTTTCAAAAATTGTTACTGATATTTTAAGATATTAATTTATACTTATGTTATTACTACAGGTTTCAAAATATTAGTATTAAATAATTATAAAAAACTTCAAATTAAATATGGCAGCTAGCATTTTAACTGAAATACAAATAAAATAATTATGTGCCACATTCTAGAGAGCATTATAAGTGGCACTTACAATCTCATATTGAACGATCATATAACAACAAATAGAACTCTGCTTCGACATAATCTTTGGAAAATAAATATTATTAATATGGATTGCTAATTTTTATTTGGTTTATTACTCACACGTATTAGTTGTGAGTAGTTAAACCATAATTTTTAGGCATACATATTATTTACAATTGTAATTGTATCATATTATCAAATAAGTCAGGCACCAATCTTGAATACTGAAGATTAAACAGTTCAAATTCACAACTTAAACACAACATCAAAACGTCACATTATAAAAATAATACTCTATACAAAAAAAAATGTACAAAAGTAAAAAAAATACATATATTATGATGATTGCACAAAATAATATAATTTATTATTTCTATGTTACTTATAAAAATATGTTCTAATAATTGGTATGTAAAAGGAATCTTCATATAGCTGTTACTGCAAATCTAAAGTAACTCTCAGAGTGAACTGCATAACTATATTATTTATTATAAATATATTAATACCTTATTACAAATATAACTTATTTGCATACAAGTATAAAATGCATGAGAATTCTAATGAAGTTTAGATGATGAGTACATAATTACTATACTATTGTTTTATCCTACTTTATTAATGAGCTCATCACAGATGGCTGTGAGTTCCTCATTGTCTTTTATTTTCTGTGCCAATGACTCCTGCAGTGATGAAGCATGTACCTCACTTTTCTTGAGCATTGCATTTAATTTCAGAATTTCTGCCTGATGAGTCTTTTTAACGGCATCCAATTCAGCATTTGCTTTGTTGAGTTGCTGCATAGCATGTTGCCTCAATGTTTCATACCTCGCTTCTAGTTTTTGTATGGCATCATTATTCTCCTCAACGGTATGTTTGAGTGTCTCTTCATTGCTTTTATAGCCTTGAATGATAACTTTACATCTTTCATATTTGGTATGAACATCATTGAATGCATGCTCCATAGATGCAAGATGTGCTGCCGCTTCATCTCTCTCTCTTACAAGTGTAGTTCTTTCTTCAGTCCATCTTTTACCCTCTATCTCACGCTCACCAATGAGTGAAGAGATTGTGCGCTCATATTCTTCCATAACTACACTCATCTGTTTATTGTTTCTTACTTTTTCTGCAACTCTCTGTGATAAGGCTTTTTCTTTCTCTGCATATTCTTCATTTTGTTCAGTCAATTTCTTTATTTTGTTTTCACATTCTTCAAGCCTCTCTCGTAATTCATGATTAAGATCTCTCAAGCTTTGAGCTTCTTCTTCTTGAGTAGTAAGAAGTTCTTTGACGGCTCGCAATTGTTCTACTGTATGGGGATCCATATCTGAAGTACGAGTAATAACAGGTGGAGGCGGAGGAATGTTAGCACCCAGACTAAGCAATCTATCAATGGTAGCTATAGCAGGTGAAACTGTACTAGCTTTTACTGGTGTTACTTTCGCGGAGGGTTGACTTCGGTTAACTGCAGGAGTAACCACTTGTGTTGGCTTTTCAGTAGAACCACTGCTAGTCTGTGTTACGGATAATTGTTGCATTGAGTTTACTATATTTTGCTCTGTACCTGACATGGTACTATACACAGCTGTATCTGTTCACAAGTTCTTACTGTTATTTGATAAATAATTTACATGGTCTCGTCTGAAAGCAAAGAAAATATTTCATTATGCCTTTGTTATGTATTTCGAAATTGTAAAACAAATAAAAATCTAACTACATGAAGCAACCATAAAATTACGTATTATATTTTGTGTATACATTTCTAAAATGTCTCTATGACGAAGTACATAGTCCCACGCAGAGTGGAACTCATATTGAACACTATAAGCTGTTAGAGAATAATTGCGTTGGTTTAACTTACTGCAATGTCCTCGAACCACTTCGAACGCTAGAAACACAGTAAGAATTGACAACCACAAAAATGTTCAGGCTAATTATATTTAAAATCTTTAGTAATGTGTGTTATTAACATTTATCATTTATTTAAACTTTTTAATAAATTTAGACGATGATGACGGAAGATTGCACGCACAGATTGAAATTGTTGAAAATGTTTCAGTGACTGAATTGATTGATGACATCAGTCTGACAGTTTTTTTTTAATTATAGGCCGACGGTTCCTACTCTTAGACCAACCTAAATTTGACATTGGAATGAAAATATTCGTAATGTACTGGAAACGTGATTGACCGATAGAAATTTTCGCTTTTATACGATCGATTACATGAGATTTTTTCTTTTTAAATGTATTACTTATATTCGTATAGACTGACATAAAATTATTTCAATTCTAAAAAGTTTTCGGCTTTCCTTATTCCGCATTAAATTCTGAATTTTAATTAATTTGAACGGCCAGCTTGTTACAATGTTATTTTTTATTGCTTAGATGGGTGGACGAGGTCACGGCTCACCTAGTGTTAAGTAGTTACTGGAGCCCATAGACAACTACAACGTAAATGCCGTCACTCACCTTGAAATAAAAGTTCTGAGTTCTCAGTTGTAACAGTACAACGGCCGCCCCACCCTTCAAACCGAAATGCAATTTACTGCTTCACGGCAGAAATAGGCAAGACAGTGGTATCAACCCGTGCCGACTCACTTGACATTTACGCTACAAACTATATTTTGACTATACTTTTCTGATAAAATTTAGCCTTATTGATATATCTTTGCTACAGCGAATACTTTGCCAGAAATAACGAACGGCTGAAGAAGAAAACAACTATTTTGTGTTCGTTCTACTAGAAAAGTCCGAATAGAAGAATTTCGTTTTTGTTCAATTCTCATAATGTAATAAAGTTATTCTATAATAATTCTGATTCTGATTTAGGGCACTTTCTCTTTATTTTGTCGAACTGAAAATACTCGACGAACTAAGGGAATCGCTTACTTCCATAGCACGACATAATACTAATTTGAATATTGGAAAAGGCTCTGTATGTTGTTCCACGCTTTTTATTATTAAACATACATAATAAATGTTGAGATGCATGTTATACCAGGTGAAGATCACGAACCTGCATAAAGCATGAATTGTTGAGTATACGTTCGCTTTTTTATCGCTCTATATGGGCAGACAATCTGACGGCTCAACTGATGTTAAGTTGTTAGCACGGCCTGCAGACGTCACAACGTGAATACCATCAACCTCCTTGAGATACGAGGTTGAAGTCTCCACTGCTTTATATAACAGCTGTATTGTCCTTCTATGTTTACGTGAACACATGCCATGCCATGAATTAGATTTAAAACATATCTGTTGGCGCGAAAACGATTAGTTATATTATTTTAATGTTTAAAACATTAATGACTTTTTAAGCGCTAATGTCGAGCTGAGTTACACAAAACTAAATTTAAATGACAGAAGAGTTGACAGAAGACTAAGCCTAATAATAATAATAGCCTAGAAATAAGCAAAGCGAGAACACTTTAACGATTTAATATGTACATTCTCCGCATGTGCATATCGCACCGATAGAATTAAAGTGGCATAACAATTTTTTTTAAGAAAATGAGTTTTATATTTCAGACTTTTTTTTTCCTACCTAAGCTGATGGTCTAGAGAAATCATATCAACGTTACTTTAATTAGTAGGTGAGCTCACGGGCCTCAAACATGATGATGTTGCTAACACGAACCGTAGCAAGAGCTGGGCTTCGCAGAATCTACCACCGGATCGGAAACGCAAACCACTGAGAAGATCCGACGAAAAACTCAGTGGGCTGTGTCTGTGGGTAAATTTACTCGACGAGCCCTTCGTCGCAAGCAAAAGGTTCGACGAGAACGATGACCGGTTACTTCGGACGTTTTTAACATTTATTCTATCAGTTTATGAAATTAGTCTCTTTTACTTCAGAAAAGACAAACATAATTTTTTCATATTTTTTAAATCAAGCGACTACTTTAAATTAAAACTAAAAACTATACTTAAATTACATTTTTGGTGTTTTTTTTTTATTTTTATTGCTTAGATGGATGGACGAGCTCACAGCCCACCTGGTGTTAAGGGATGACTGGAGCCCATAGACATCTACAACGTAAATGCGCCACCCACCTCGAGATATAAGTTCTAAAATCTCAGTATAGTTACAACGGCTACCCCACCCTTCGAACCGAAACGCATTACTGCTTCACGGCGGAAATAGGCGGGGTGGTGGTACCTACCCGTGCGGACTCACAAGAGATCCTACCACCAGTGATTACGCAATTTACAATTTTGCGGGTTTGGTTTTTATTACACGATGTTATTCCTTCACCGTGGAAGTCAATCGTGAACATTTGTTGAGTACGTATTTCATTAGAAAAATTGGTACCCGCTTGCGGGATTCGAACACCGATGCATCGCTACATACGAATGCACCGGACGTCTTATCCTTTAGGCCACGACGACTTGAACTTGGTGTTTGCTAAAAACAAGGTTTTTGGATTAAGCCACTTCAATTTTAAGGTTGATGTTAAATACTATTGTTGTTGACGTAAAGAGGTAGACGTGATCACCGCTCACAAAACTAAAGCGGCACCACAACTGCCTCGTTTTCATGACTTGACAGATTTCCAATCACAGGTATCAAGTTAAACCGACGCCGATACGCCAGATTGTAAGCTTATGCGTACTACTTGATCCCAATAAAAAAAATATATTTAAATTTCTATTAATTTATTTCAACTAATTATTACAGCGAGATTGTCTAGACAGCAACAATGTATTTATCCGTTTTGTACATTTCGTAGGCAAATTCTTCATCGTGTGTTGGGTCGAATTCTAATCCTGAAAAAAAAACGCCATAACATCATGAAAATGAGATGATTTAATAATATTGAAATGATTGAAATGATCTTAGTGTTTCAGTCAGCAGCCAGTTTTGGCACGCTTCATAACCTTGATTTTGATGGAGTTCAACATACTTTATGTATTGTTGCATAGGTCTCAATTCTGGGGGGCGACATAGGGTATATTATTTCAATATATTATTATGGTGCCCTTGAAAAAAAAACAACTGATAATTAGACATAATTTATTGTTTTTTATTGCGTAGACGGAAAAACGAGTTTCACGACCCACCTAGTTTTAAGGGGTTACTGGAGTTAGTAAACATCACAAAGTGATAGATAGCCGTCACCCCACTTAAGATTAGAGATATGTCTCAATTGTATAGTAATTACACAAACTATTATTAGTTTTTTAGGTTTGATTATTTGTTACACGAAGTTATTCCTTCGTCGTGCAAGTCAATCATGAACATGAGTTAGGTATTTCATTAGAGAAATTGGTAGGTACTTGCAGAATTTAAATAGCGACATAGACGCATCGCTCGATAGGAGTATATAATGCGTCCTTTAGGCCATGACGAATTTAGACATTCTGTTTGTTATAATATCTATATCTATGTCTATAAAAATAAATTGCTGTTCGTTAGTCTCGCTAAAACTCGAGAACGGCTAGACCGATTTGGCTAATTTTGGTCTTGAATTATTTGTAGAAGTCCAGAGAAGGTTTTAAAGGTAGATAAATATGAAAATTCTCGGTATTAAATAAAAATAACAATTTTGTTTTTCCTTAGATGTGTCCCCCGTCGGACGGATTCCTTTTGTTTGTTTTAAGTTTATTTTATACAAAAGTTTAGGTCTTTTATTTATCGATTCAGGCACTACGAAGTCTGCCGGGTCAGCAAGTTATTTTATACATTTATGGAAAATAACAAATAATAATAAAAAAATTTGAAACATGACGATTCGTAAAAATAGGAGGCCGCCGCAGCAGAATTCGTTCCTACTACTTAAAACCACGTATCGAATGTCGTAACGTGGGTAGACAGCCAACGAGGTGGACCGATGACCTGGTCAAAGACAGAGACCGGATGAGAAAGGCAAGAGGCCGAAGAGAATGGTGTGCATTCGAGGAGACCTACACTCAGCATTGAGTGGACACGGGTTGAAGAAGAAGAAGAAGGCTTAAAACCACGTTCTGATACAATGTTCTCCAGATATACATATTTCTTGCTAAGTACTATTGGGAATGAACTCCCTTGTACCGTATTCCTTTAGCGCTGTGACATCTTTAAACGAGATTCGAAAAATGAGTCCTCAGCGGTAGGTAGCTTCTAGGCTCTACTTCTGGGTTCGCTAATATCCATGAGCGATGGTAATCGCTCGCCATTATTAGGTCTTAAACTCGTTAGCCCTCAAAAGCAATGGAATTTTAATCTCGTATTTATTTGATTACTGTTCTCCTGTTCGTTATTCGCTCTAAGGGACAAATCTGTAGGAGACGTGTTTTTAAAACAGATAAACTAAATATAACTCAAAATTTCAAGCAGATGGGGAAACGGTGCATTGACCCAATTCGTTGATGATAGCGAGAGAGGAAAACTTTAAATGTGTTAGTGCTGTTTTTAGAATAGTTAAATGTGTATCAGACAAATTTGATATAGCGTGGTGAGCAGATCGCAATACCAACTGAGCGTTCAACCTAATATTTAGTATGTTTTAAATTTATGTGTATTTAGTCAATTGGCCGGTAGTTACGATTAGTTGCTGGAATCGGCGAGACTAGGTGCGTAATAGAAGTGGCTAGTAGCCAGTAGTACCTTAGAAAAGTTCACTTTCGCACAATTTCGTCAGTACGTATTCAACGCGGCAGTACTATTTCTCGTATGTTAAAGAAATTTACAAAGAACAACTAGTAATTTTTGCAACCAACGAGCTTGGAAAATATTCGTTGCCCAAAGGAAACGTATTTATTTTACATTGATATTACCTCTTGTGAGTCCGCACGGGTAGGTACCACCACTCTGCCTATTTCTGCCGTGAAGCAGTAATGTGTTTCGGTTTGAAGGGTGGGGCAGCCGTTGTAACTATACTTGAGACCTTAGAACTTATATCTCAAGGTGGGTGGCGCATTTACGTTGTAGATGTCTATGAGCTCCAGTAACCACTTAACATCAGGTGGGCTGTGAGCTCGTCCACTCATCTAAGCAGTAAAAAAAATATATTCAAAGACTCAAATAATTTGATTAAAAAAAAACCATGTAATTTTGATGACACAGACACGTACCTACATACTCTATTTCTAGATTAAATTTACCAACTATCTTGTCTCCGCAAGATATACCGAAGTGAGTTACTTTGTCGAAACGCATTCTCGTTTGTTTGTCTTGCAAACGGCCTTTTGATCCCAAAACGAACTTCGAGAATGGAATCTGTAAAGAAAATATCATTAAAGAAAGTTAATGATGGGGTTCAACTTACAACTTCGACGATTTTTTTTTCTGAGTAGACGACCTTAAAGTCTGTATGGTAGGTTTTGAAGGTAAATGGCTTAAAGCGACAGCACGATTTCTCTTATGGTGCCCACTGAGTTTCTCGCCGGATCTTCTCAGTGGGTCGCGTTTCCGATCCGGTGGTAGATTCTGCGAAGCACTACTCTTGCTAGGGTCAGTGTTAGCAACACTCCGGGTTGAACCCCGTGAGCTCACCTACACACGTTAGGGCGAAGCTGAAATAGCCTCTTAAGGCTATAGGTAGGAATAAAAATCATATGGTTTTGAAGTCTCATTTAATACCTTTCAATATTAATTCCTTTTGGTCTTGTGTTATAATGTAATTCACTTTGTTCATGCTTTTTTTTATTGTTTAGATGGATGGACGTGCTCACAGCCCACCTGGTGTTAGGTGGTTACTGGAGCCTATAGACATCTACAACGTAAATGCACCACCCACCTTGAGATATAAGTTCTAAGGTCTCAACGGCTGCCCTACCCTTCATACCGAAACGCATTACTGCTTCACGGCAGAAATAAGCAGGATGGTGGTACCTACCCGTGCGGACTCACAAGAGCTCCTGCCACCAGTAAATAAGTCAGTGAATAACTTAACTTGACTAAGTTATAGACATATTTCGTACCTTCGCAACTTGCCAGTACGGTCCGCCTCTCGTATACAGAATATAATGGTAAATATCGTTCCAAGTTATGTCGTAATAGCCCTCCGTAGAGATGTTAAGTAAATAAGCTCTCCCGTCGCCTCTGACCTTTAAAACTAAAGTGTTATACAGATGCCAATCAAACGTGGACGCTCTTTTGAATGATTTCTGAAAATAAAAACGCAAAATAAATAAATTAATTACGCTATCTAGGCTCTGAGAAGAAAACAGTTCAATTCTGATTCTTCTTATGGTAGACGATGTAGAAATTTTATTATATTTTGTCGATGTTTTGGTTGTCTAAAAGATATGTTTTTTAAAGACCCAACTGCCAATGTAATATTGTACTTTGATACCAGTTTATATGAATATTATGATATTATTATTTTTCGGTGTACAATAAATCATACGGCATAGACAGCGTTCGTGTAATCCGCTTGTGATTTGCCAATAAAAAGCATTTGACAAAGTATGAACTTTTTCAGCGTCTGACACAGTTAATATTTTGTTCATAAAATTTCAATGCTTGCTTGATTAACGTAGCTGTTCCGTGTGCAACATTAGAACCTCATCAAAAGAATATTAACGGGCTGCAATTGTAGGTATTGTAGGTACCTATAAGCTCTGTTGCAGCTCTCCTGTGTTGGAAATGTAAATGTGCTTTTAAAGCCGGTAGCGTTATCGAAACTTTTAAAGTATAGAAAAAAATATGGTCATCACTAATAATTGCGATGAGTACACAATTTGTTTATAAATATAATGTTTCTGGGCGTCGTTAGGTCTAATGTCGTTCGAACGTGTTACGCTCCGGCTAATAACGAAATCTGAACTTAGAACTGAATTAGACTTCTTAGAACAGCTTATGCCGTAGGTTCGATAAATATAACTTAGTTTGATAAGATAAAATTCACACAGAGAAATACATAAAACTGATACAAAATCTGAAAACTGTAGTACGTGCCCTGTCTCGAGCATCCTATGCGATTCCGATACGGTAATAAATTCTGCGAAGCAATGCTCTTGATACGGCTCTTGTTAGCAAATTCTCTCAGGTTGAGCCCGTTAGCTCACTTATGCGACCGCGCGTTGTTGAAATAGCCTTTTAAGCTACCAGGGAATAGGTAGAGAACAAAAAATCTTCCTACAAATTAACAAAGAGACAATTCGTCGAACTATCGTCGCTATGACATGTCCTTCTTCAAACGAGGCTTGTGGAGAGTATTAAACGTTAGGCAGCGGCTTGGATCTGGCTTGGTTCTGCTCCTGGCATTGCTGATGTGTAAAAAATACGAGTACATAGGTTTTTTTAATTAACAAATACCCTTTGCATTTTCGATCTCATAGCGCAGTATCCGGCTTTTTTGATGCGACCGTCCTTTGGTACTCTCGTGTCAAGATAACCGTGGAAGAGAGCCCGTCCAGCTGGACTCATTTCCAGGGTACAAGAACTGTAACCTTCGCCATGGTCACTATCGCATGTTGTGACGAATTTTTCTAGAACTGTAGGACTATTGAAACACCACAAAAGATCGATTTCACCTGAAACAATAATGTATTTTAACCATTATTTACCCAGTTTAAACCAATTTAACAAAAGTTATCAAGGCGATGGTTTAAAATGTTCTATTTGTGTGTTACCAGAGTTCCAAAGTTACCAGGTTTCCTTGGGGATAAAGGGATGCAAATGGCCCGTAGGCCTTTCTAGCTCTTTCACCAGTACAGATGAGTGAACTCAAGGACTCAGTCGGGTGGAAGGTGAGGGGCTGCTACCAGATATCTGAGCGCCTATTATCTCCAGGGTAACTGCTTATCAAGTGCGTCTACCACCGGATCGTTAAAGCGACCAACGAGAAAGTGCGAAATAAGGTCAAGTGTCACGTCGAACTCTGAGAATGGTGATCTGTACTTTGGCTGTTCCAACGAGTTCGTCCAAATACATTGACAGTGTATCAGGTGGATCCATCGTTTTCATTTTTGCACTCAAACAGCTCATCGCTGACGAGTTTTAGATTTTTTGTGAGCTCTGTTGGCGCTGTGAGTTTGTTGCCATAGAATTCTAAAGGCCCCGATCAAAGCGTTGGCCTTGCCTTGGCGTGACCCGAGAGGTAACACAATGAAACCTATAGAGCAGTCGTTTTTTTTTTCCTACCTAAGCTGATAGCCTTGGGAGTCTATTTCAGGTGAGCTCACGGGGCCACCGGAGTGATGCTTACACTGAGCCTAGCAAGAGCAGTGCAGAATCATCGGATCGGAAACGCGACCCACTGAGAAGATCCGGCGAGAAACTCAGTGGACTGGGTCTATGGGTTAATTCGCTCGTCGAGCCCTTCGTCGCAAGCGACGGGTTCGACGAGGACGGTGACCGGAGCAGTCGTGCAGGAACAGAAATGTACTGACATAGAAATTTGTTGAAACCGCATTGATCTAGAGACACTCTATTCTATCCAGTGAACAAGAAGCTGGGTGTATTGGCGTCAGTTGTAAGGTATGCTCGTTAGTGTTAATAATCTGGTGACAATGAGAAATCCAAATGACACGCTCTTGTAATATGACCCTACTTTATGAATAAAATGTAGGAGGAAAGTGGTAGAGTCATGATTCATGGCTAATCGTAAAACAGTATCTTAAGCCGAAGATAGAAATAAATTAATAGTGCAATGAGTGGTCAGAGAACTAGATAAGACCTTCAGAAATGAAGAAACAGACTCAGAACCAGAAGAATCTCATTTTTCCTTCATTATTAATCCTGATAGGATGACAGTTATTTCACTTTTATTTTGACCACATTTTTATGAAATAAAACATAGCCTTTATTTTCTACATTTCTTGGAGCAATGTTTAGTGCAAAATAGGTAAACTCTGACATGATGTAATGAAAAATGCCACTCCATAAATAAAACACTTTAAATAATCTCTCAATAATTAATTTATTAAAACAAGAATAATGTTTACAAGTTACAGTGAAGAACATGTTAAATAATGTCTAAAGAGAAATAAGTATATTATAGTAACTAAACCATAGGCATAATCATATTAACAAATTATTTAGGTGGGAGTTAAATTATTACCAAAACCATAAAAAAAATAGTAATTAAAATAAGAGGTACGATTCATAAATGTTCATGGCACATTCACCACTTCTCTGTTTTCACGACTTCTGGTGACGTAGTTACATAATTTGTAAGTAAACAGAGTTATTTTATTTGGATCATACTCCATTGGAATTTAATAATTTGAAAAATATATTTTGCGGCTGCCAAACAAAGGAATATTAAATTTAATAAAATTATAAATGATGGAAAAAATCCAACCTTAGAAATTATGAACAAATAATAGTTGAGATTCATCACAGCATGAGTTTTTAGTCTTAGCACCCACAACCTTTTGTTTCATAAGCATACGATACATAGTAATGAAAATGCAAAAAATCTCATTATAGAATCAACGCACTTCATTGATCAATTGGTCACATATTCTTGTCAATTCCTCATTATCTCGATTCTTCTGAGCCAGAGATTCTTGTAAAGACGCAATTGTTATTTCATGCTTTTTAATAATGGCATTCAACTTAGTCACTTCTGCATTATGATTTTTTGTGATACTCTCTAATGTTTCATTTGCCTTGGTGAGGCTTTCAGAAGTAACCTTTTTTAAGTTACTGTACAACTCTTCATACTTCTTCACGGCATCTTCATATTCGTTCATCTTATTCTCATGTACTTTCTCTCTGTCCTTGAATTCCAATATCAAGCTTTTGCATTTTTCATATTTTGTTAGTAAGTCATTGAAGGAGCTTTCCATGCTTGTCAAATGTTCTAAAGCTTGATCTCTCTCGACTGTCAACTTTTCTATTGTTTCATTAGACATAATTTTTTCCCTCTGCTGTTCTCCAATTAATGCTGAAATAGTTTTCTCATATTCTTCCATGACAATACTCATCTGTTTGTTTGCCATATTTTTTTCATTCAACTGCTGAAGTAATTTGTTTTCTCTATCCAAAAACTTTTCTTTTTCTTCAGAGAGTTTTTTAACTTTGTATTCTAGTTCCTCTATGCTTCTCTGACTTTTATGTTCAACTTCCTGTAATTTAGACCTGAGTTCTCTATTTTCCTGCCTTAGTTGCAATACTTCTTCATCTTGCTTTTGTAAAATTATTCGTAGCGATTGAAGTCTGTCAACTTGCTGTGCACCATAGCTACGGTTTCTAGGACTTCTCGGAGCAGCAGTAGGGGGAGTGTTGCCTGCAATACTAATGAGTCTTTCTGTGGCAACTTGAGTAGGAGTCAATATAGCAGATACACTACGAACAAGAGCAGGTGTTGAGCGAACTTGATTTATGATTACTTTCGATACTTCCGAATTAACAACAGGTGGCACTACTTGTGTCGGCTTTTCTTTGCAAAGCATTGACTGTACTGATCCAATAGACATTGTTTGTTTCGGTGAACTAATGTGACTGTCGGTAAAAGTCGACACACTGCTTCCAGTTTCGTAGCCAACATCTACCTCGTTGCCATCAGATGGTGATTCTGTATGTGAAGATTCAGATTGTTGTCGTATTTGATTAGCGTACAAAGGGTCAAACTTCACAAACAAGCTTTCTTTGCCTCTATCGATCTGACTATGATGTCGTGTTGATTCTGTACATTTAACTAGGTAGTCTAGACTCGTTGCGTCGATGAATACATTGTCATCATACAGCGGCACTTCCTGCATTGTAACATCACATATGCTACCGAAATCAGAGCCAGTCAACAAGTCGCTGGTGTCGTTAGGATTAGTGGCGACTTCTTTTTTCGATGGCGACATTGCCATTAGGTCACCAACAGAAGACACAGGAGTCATAAAACACTCATCAGAAACAATCGAAGTACCTTTAGCAGATAACATAACTGTTATGTGTCGTGGTTAGTCTCAATTGAAACGAAAATTCGTCAAGAACTTGTAGCGTTAGTTATTTTTAACTAAACACGAAACGGACATTNGATTAGTGGCGACTTCTTTTTTCGATGGCGACATTGCCATTAGGTCACCAACAGAAGACACAGGAGTCATAAAACACTCATCAGAAACAATCGAAGTACCTTTAGCAGATAACATAACTGTTATGTGTCGTGGTTAGTCTCAATTGAAACGAAAATTCGTCAAGAACTTGTAGCGTTAGTTATTTTTAACTAAACACGAAACGGACATTTCCACAATTGGGGACAATCTCGGGGAGCACAGTCAATCAAAACAGACGAATGAGAACGTTTATTTTGTTCGGAAATATAACGGCTATTTTTAAAACACAAAACCATAGAAACCGACAGAGTTGACAACTTGTCTAACTTGTGTTGAGCAGAAATTTCATTTTTCAAATTTACAAAAGGCAAAGACTTGCGACCATACAGCCCAATCTTTAATTTATGAAATTTGCAAAAATTTCAACAAAATTGAATTTTTCAATAAAAAAATGTAATTTACCGAGATTTCAGTAGACTTGAGCACCCTAAGAAGCAACGTCCTGTAATTTTTTCATTTTACTGCACTTATTCAATTTCATTGATGCTAATCAGTATATTCTGCAATCACTGCTCTTGCTAGGGCTAGTGTTAGCAAATTCTCTCAGGTTGAGCCCGTGAGCTCACCTACCTGTCCGGGCGTAGCTGGAATAGCCTCTTAGGCTACCAGAAAATAGTTAGGGGAATAGAAGAAACAAAACACTCCCAAAAAGTTGCATGCCTGGAATTGTGGAGACATGACACATAGTTCACCCTTGCTAGTCAATATGGTATACCTTTTTTTTTTTTCTTTGATGAACTGAAATGATGTAGCAAAATTTTTAAAAATATATACTCTTTTGCACAATGCTAATATAATGACCAGCATCATAAAATATTATATCCTACCTTTTTTTTTTTGAGAATTGCCTTACCATGAAGTAAGGAATTCTAACAGTTTTTGAATAAATACATCAATCATAAAATAAAAAAGATAAAAATTTTTAATGTTTGTTAATTGTAATCTAGAAGCAGTACTGGTACTGTAAGGCTATTTGTCTTGAATGAAATGCATTTATTTTCTAAGTGGATATATTTTATTATTACGTAGCGCGGATTCTGAAAAAGTTTGTACAACAATGTGCATTTAGGCTATAGCCAGCTTGCCCTCTGAGCACTACATATGCAATCATAATTAAGGCTAAATTGGAATTGGCACACTCTGGTTTTTGATTTAGAATCATGTAGGAGGCCCTAAAAGTAGCAGTCTTAGTCATGAAATTAAAAGATTGACAACTTTGCAGTAAAGCTTTGAAAGAAAACATTTAGAACCTACATAGGTAAAATAAATAAAAATCAGCAGATGTATAGAATCCATGGCCTCTTCTTTTATGGCCTTCCATATAGGTTAGGAGTATTTTTTCCCAGAATAATAAAAATGTTTTTCTTAATTTACTTTAAGATAGGAGTTTACTGATATTACAGTTCCAGAAATTGAGCCATTGTACCCTGCATACCCATTTACATGTGAATCATTTAACATGTTTAAAATAATTCAATTATTCAGAACAGATACTTTTTATTTCTTTGTACTTAAGGGTAAAAGGTTCATCGCCTAATAATTTTGTTTTATTCCAAAACATAAACATCTAAATTTCTCCCTAATGTATCTATTTTATAAGAACTTGCCAAATGGTTAAAATTCTAACCTCAGGAATTGTTCTGTTCTGTTATTCGTTCTACATTACATTTTAATTTATGTATTGTACAATCGTGCTTGTAATGTATTTTTTACTTACCGGGCCTCGCAATCAGAAGAGGATCCATATCATATAATTCTTTGAGTTCTTTAGCAAACAACTTCAATTCATGTTTCAGCTCTACCAAACCATTTTTTAAATGTTCCCAATTCGACGTTTTAATCGTTGTATCGTAGCCTCCTTTTCTATGTCTTTCCCAAAATAGCCATCGTTGAGTATTAAATAGTATAGGACACTTTTTAAGATGATGATCCTGATTACTTTTCCTACACAAAACTGAGAAACTTCTTAGATATTTAACACTAGTTATAACGTTCGTCTTAAGTAACGACATTTTCAATTTATATTATAGCACTAAAGTCATAAAATCATGTTTATTATACGAACTATAGAAAACTTAATCATAACCTATAATTTTATTTGTAGATATTTATTTTTAAGAATAAATAGGTAGGTACATAGGTACCAAGATTTAAATCAGCTGGTTACATCATAGATTAATCGTTGTTCCTCTTGTTGATCTGTGGCTGTGGTCCATAGATAATACATTTAATTACTATTGAGGGTGGTCCATTGATGGCTCACTGAATTTGGCCCCACATTTTTTGATTTTCGGTTTTTTTTAATTTTTAATTATTTGTTCGTTGTTTGTTCGTTAATATTCGAATGTAAAAATTGTTTTTTCGTCTTTTATTGAAGTGAAAACTTCTTTAGAATCGTTGTGATTTCAAACCGGATGCAACGGAAAAAACGACAGGTAAGAGACACAAATACAAAAATGTGTAGGATGAAGCCAGCAAAGAATGAGACAGAAATATACATACTATTTAATACAGCGCCATCTGTGAGATTTTTTAATACTAACGTGTGTATGAAAGCTCTTGTAGTGAATTTTAATTTAGGATTATACGTGAAATTAAAATATCAATTCACAGAGGGCGCTACCTTACAATTATTTACTAATGACAAAATTTTACATATACTTAAGACGTTTAGGAT